AATAAAGTGAGAAATGGAAACAAAGTCCTTTGGAATATAAATCTATTTCTGAGTAATAGGTATTAGAATTTTGTCTCTAGTTATGAATATCCTATCCAAAGTTTTATTCCATTTCCCTTGAGGGGACTGGTACTCATCTCTGCTCAAAAAAAAAAAAAAAAAAAAAAAGTGCAGGCCTAGAGAGATTGCTGATTTGAGATGGTATGAAATGGGGAAAAGTATGAAATAATATTTTCTTTCATATTTTCTTTCCTTAAATTACCAGTGTCATAATTTCAGTATATGCTGAGATGATAAGACAGGTGAATTTGAAGGAATTATTTACAAAAACTGTAAAAGAAAAAGAAATATCTTCAAGTAAAGCATGGAAAACATGCTTATTTATTATATTTGTCTGGGCATGGAATTGTTCTTAGGAATATTCACTTGCATTCTGAATATTATTTTTGTTTACCAGTATGTTATACTCTGTGCACTAATGACTAATACATGCATTTGCAAATGAAAATATTTACATATAGTCCTTTATATTCCTCTCATATGATATTTATCTTTTACTTCAGTCTAAGAAGAGTTTTACATTCAATGTAAGTGCATACAACACTACACATTTTTGTATTATTTTCTTTTGGCTTTAGTTTTGTAGAGGACTTTAATGGAGAAATAACTGCAAAATATTCTTAAATACTTTCTAGTTAAAATGACACAGGACTTAGTTATGGCAGTATAATCAAATCTTTTAGCAGTAATTTATAATGTACTATTAGTACTGTGGAACATTTTAACTTATGTATAAAGTGTAAGAACATGAGGGGGAATTCATACGGTGATTCAGATTTGCATTCGTCACCATGTCAACTCAACCTGGTTGCTAGGGTAAAATGGAAGAATAAACTCTTATAAGTACATCAACAGAAAGAGTACGACTAAGGAGAATCTCCATTTTACTGGATGAGGCTGGGAATATGACCACTGAGGATAAGGAAAAGGCAGAAGTTCTGAATGCCTTATTTACGTCTGTCTTTAAAAGTCAGACCAGTTATCATCAGGGTACTCCACTCTCTGACCTGGTAGTCTTGGCTGGGGAGCAGACTAAACTCCCACGATTCAGGAGGACACAGTCAGAGACCTACTAATCCAACTGGACTGCCACAAGTCCATGAGGCCAGATGAGATTCATCTGAGAGTGCTGAGGGAACTGGCGGAGGTGATAGCTGAGTTGCTTTCCATCATCTATCAGCACTCCTTGTTGATTGGTGAGATCCCAGAAGACTGGAGGCTTGCCTATGTGACTCCCTCTACAAGAATGGTTGTAAGGAGGACCCGGGGAACTACAGGCCTGTTAGCCTCAGTGCCAGGGAAGGTTATGGAGCAGACTGTCTTGACGGAGATCACATGGCATGTGTGGGACAACTGGGGGATCAGGTCAAGCCAGCATGGGTTCACGAAGGGCAGGTCCTGCTTGACCAACCTGATCTTTTATGATCTAATGACCCATCTGGTGGATAAAGCTGTTGATGTAGTCTACCTAGATTTCAGCAAGGCCTTTGACACTGTCTCCCACAGTTTCTCCTGCAGAAGCTGGTAGTCCATGGCTTGGAGAGGTACACTTTTGGCTGGATAAGGAAGTGGCTAGAGGGCTGGGCCCTGAGAGTGATGGTGAATGGAGTTAAATTCAGCTGGTGACCAGTCATGAGTGGTGTTCCCCAGGGGTTGGTGCTGGGGCCTGTCCTCTTCAATATCTTTACTGATGACCTGGATGAGGGCACTGAGTGCATCCTCAGTAAGTTTGCAGATGACACCAACTTGGCTGGAAGTATCCATCTGCCTGAGGTAGTGAGGCCTTACAGAGGGATCTGGACAAGCTGGATAGCTGGATTGAAGCTAATGGAATGAGTTTCAGCAAGGCCAAATGCCGGGCCCTGCACCTTGGCCACCACAACCCCAGGCAATGCTACAGGCTTGGGGCAGAGTGGCTGGAAGACTGCGTAGAGGAAATGGACCTGGGGACATTGATTGATGCTCGACTGAACAAGAGCCAGCAGTGTGCCCGAGTGGCCAAGAAGGCCAATGGCATCCTGGCTTGCATCAGGAATGGTGCTGCCAGCAGGAACAGGGAAGTGATTGTCCCCCTGTACTCAGCTCTGGTGGGGCTGCACCTTGAGTACTGTGTCCAGTTTTGGGCCCCTCACTGCAAGAAAGACATTGAAGCCCTGGAGCGGGTTCAGAGAAGAGCAACAAAGCTGGTGAGGGATCTGGAGCACAGGCCTTATGAGGAGTGGCTAAGGGAGCTGGGATTGTTCAGTCTGGAGAAGAGGAGGCTCGGGGGAGACCTTATTACTCTCTATAACTACCTGAAGGGAGGTTGTAGTGAGCTGGGGGTCAGCCTCTTCTCTCATGTGAACTAGTGATAGGACTAGGGGGAATGGCTTCAAGATCCACCAGGGGAGATTCAGGCTGGACATTAGGAAATACTTATTCTCTGAAAGAGTGATCAAGTGCTGGAATGTGCTGCCCAGGGAGGTGGTGGATTCGCCGACTGTGGAGGTGTTCAAGGAACGTTTGGATGTTGTGTTGAGGGACATGGTTTAGTGAGAGTTATTGGTGATAGGTGGATAGTTGGACTGGATGATCGTGAAGGTCTTTTCCAACCTTGGTGTTTCTGTGATTCTGTGATTCTGTGATTCTGTGATGTCAGACAGGTGTCTCAGCTCCCAGTATTGCTGATGGAGACCTAATGTATGATTCACTGACCCACACATAATTTTCTAAATCTTTTTGGGATTTAGGATCCTCAAGACTATCCTGCCTAGCCCTAGCTGCTAAACCAGACAGCTTCCTTTTAAGGGAGCCTCTGGAATTTCATATAAAGCCTTTGTCATTGTTAGCGGTTTACGGGCTGGTTTGGCCCATTCCATGACTTGCGGGGCAGAGGGATTTGTGAATCCAAACCTCCAGAAAAGTGAAACAGGGGACTCAGAATAATTAAAAACAGCAGCAATGATCTGAGGAGAAACAAACTAATTTACTAAATTTGGAATCGGAATGAAAGATAACACACTATAATACATCATAATATAATTAGAATTGGATCTAATAAATCAAATAAAATGAGAGAGAGGGTCCAAAATGTGGAAAGGCCTCAACCATAATGCTGAAGTGAGATGCGCAGTCCAGTTGATCAGCAGGGGAGAAGCTGACAATTGAAAAGAGGGACATCAGATGACCTACCAAGGCCTTATATCTGTTCCCCCTGAGCAGAAATGATAACAGTACAGCAAACAGTCTTTTGGGGAACGTAATCATTTTTCTCTTCCAGATAGGTGCCCCAAACTGGAGCATTAATTCTTTAACGCCCAGTGCACTATATGATGTTATGATGTGGAATACCTATAATCAAAAATCATAAAACCATGACAATCATCCAAGGATGCCTTGGATGTTTGAAGAAATCTCAGGTGCAATGGATCAGACTCTTTTGGGAAAGTGAATTCCTTTCTTAGGTGCCTGCGTTATTGTATAGACATATAGGCTGGGATATTTTAATATAGCACTGAATCCAAGCCTGTTATCTGCAGATAGAATGCAATTATATGTATTTATGCATATGTAGTGATCATTATATAAATATTTTTTCTGTGTTAGGAAAAGTCATCCCTACCAAAAGTAGATGAGTTTACAGTCTGGGGTGTTTTGTGCATTTTCCTTTTTGGAGGAAGAGAGAAGGGCAAATTTTCTATTTTACAGGTTCTTACTTGAAAATAGGACTTTAAACATAAAACTCATAAGGTACTAAGCACCTGTTTCATCAGCTGATATCACTTTTACAGAGGGTTATGATTAGCAGCATAAAGTTCATGTGGAGACCAGTTTATCCAGGGGTTGGACTTCTTCAGTAATAAGTGCAAAAGACTATACTGTCAGTGAGTTCTCACAGAAACTACAGAAATGGGAAGAGTGGCTGATATAAAAAATAGTTGTTGCCATTCATAAGATGGAGAAATCTGCTGATAAAAACTTAATGAAGTTCAACAGAAGGAAATGCTAATCCCTCATCTAGGGATGAATAACCCATTTAATTGTGTACATTGATGCTGACTGGCTGGAAAGCAGCTTCATGAAGAAGGACCTGGGAAAGCAACTTGAACATGACATAACAATGTGGCCTGACAGCAAAAACAACCAAAAGCCTCGTACACTGAATTATGAAAAGCATTGATAGCAGATCAAAGGAGGTGATCCCTACTGAGTACTGAAGAGTCTACATATGCAGTGCTGTATGCAGATTTGCGTTTCCCAGGAGAAGAGAGGCATGGGTATATTGGAGTGAATTCTGCAATGAATCATTAAGATTTTTAAAAGATAAAAACACTTTTCATACAAGGAGAGGTTGAGGGAGCTGGGACTGTTCAGGCTGAGGAAGAAAAGCCTCAGGGTGTTCTTACCTATATAAGATATAAATACCTGAATGGGAAGTGCAAAGAAAGTGGGCCAGACTTCTCAGTGGTGCTTAGTGACAGGACAAGAGGCAATGGACAAGGCTGAAACACACTAGGTAACATTTAAATGTAAAACAATTAAAAAAAAGAAAAAAGAAAGAAATTGCTATGATGGTTCAAGCAATGGAACAAATGGCTCAAAAGTACTGTAGAATCTTCATTTTCAGAGATATTTAAGTACCAACTGGAATCACTTAAGCAGAATCTCTACAAAATAACTCCAGATTATCTTCATGGCTCCCTTCCCTTGTGTATCTGCCATTCTGTGATCTTTTTGTAGAATCTGCTTTTAAGAGAAGGATTTTCATAGTCAACTTGTTTTTGACATAAAATATTGTTAAAGGAAACATGATTGTTCATGACAATACAGGTATAAAAAACTTACAAAAATACTGTACAAACAACTTTGTTAATATTCAGGTCTAAGATCAGATAAGCTGATGTTGCACAAGCTGTCATACATATTATTAACCCTTTATTCCAGAATTGTGAATGGGGATAAACAAATGGCAGTAAGACACACATTACAAGATAGAGGAAAACAATTACCAGAGAATGAGAAATAGCGTTTTCAAACTAATCAGTGTAAATGTCATATAATCCATTATTGTTGTACAGTCTGCTCCAGTTGTATATAAAGTGTTGGCATTGATGGTTTGATGGATTTGCTTTACGTCACTGAGGTTCATCTTGTCTGGCATCCCTGCTGAGACAAATAAGAAAATACAGTATGATGCATGCCTTTGTCAGTTCTGGCAACATCTAACAGCTAGAAAATGTGTGTATATCCTCAGCACATGTACTGTCACTGTTTGGCTTCTGATTCTCATGTTACTGCCAAATTAAAAATCCTTTATGAATGCATCTACAAAGACACAGTAAAGTATATGACTATCCATCACTGAAGATATGTCAAAGGTCCGCCAGCTATGAACAAAGACTCTCTTGTACTTTCTTGTACAAATATATCTCAACAAACATTTTCAGACTAAAATGAACAGTTTTGCAAGTCACACAACAATTCACTACTTACATATTTCTTGGGATTGAAGGGATAATAAAATAATTTCACATGAAATTGGTTCTATCTAGATCACAATATTTTTCCAAATTAACATACACCTGATGCAAGAGGTACAGCAAATTATGTTTGCTGCTATATAAAAACCTCCCTTCTTGTACAATTTGCCTAACTTCAAATAGGATTTTTTTTTAACTGAGTTCTGGGCTGAATAGTTTTACTTTTTTGGACCAGGATAAAAAGTCATCCAACTCAAAAGAGTGCTTTATATGGAACAAGGACATACGCATCCATTTTATTTCCTATACCTGGTTAAACAATCAAAAACCCAAAGTCTTGGTGATACATGTAGATTTGGAAGCTTTATCAGGTCCTTACATTTGCTATTCATACTTTTAGACTGTCTTATCCCATATAACAATTTGTGGAATGCCACTATCAATCAAAATTAACAAGTCTAAAGTCAGTGTTATTACATGCAACAAATATTGACATTGTAATTACATTCATATAAAGCAATGTCAATATTTATATAATTAGGTCAATACATATATAATTAAGTAGGTAAACTCTACTGTTGGAATGAAGCTCATCACTACTGAGTTGACATAGAATTTACAGTCTAAGTTCTTGCATTCACTGTTTAGTTACTTCTTTCCTTTGTATCATTTGTAAAGACGAGTAAACTAAGCAACATCTTTTTGGTTTGGGGCTGTGATGAAGTATAAATATTTCAGTCGTGGTGTTGTCCTCTTTGATAAGCTAATTTAACAGAAGCTACAGAGAATCATCATTTTTGATAGGAACAACTTTTTCACTGCTTGAGTTATAAATACTCTTTTTTCTAAAGGCAGCTTGAAAGCTGCTCTTTGTGAACCTGCTATATGTACTCAAATATCCTTCCTGTAGCTTTGAAAAAATACATTAGAGGAAGAGTCAGTTAAAGTCAATCATGTTGCCTGAACAATCTGCTAGAATGAATTTATCTTTTTTGCAGCTGTAGTCAGACAGGAGAATAGACTGCTATTTTGTGGATTTATCGATCCAGTGCTCTTACCTGGAATTTGTGAAAATTAGCTATTTCAGTACAATGCATGTGGACATACAAGGAGGAAGAGAAACAATAAAGGCTGGCAAGGAGAGAAGAAATTTCTCCTTATCACGCACATTTAGTAGCAGTCTGTCTAGAAAAAGATGAGACACTCAGTGCTTCACTGAATGGATGTTTGGTGGATCACCAAAGAGCATAGATCAAAGGGTTTTTTTCCAAGGCAATTTTGGAAGTAGAACTAAAACAGTTTTTTATCATGTACTTTCATCTCTTAAAATAAATAAATAAATAAATCTTTATTTAATAAAAAAGTCAATTCCTAGACTATACTTATTTAAATAATAGTAATTATTATTGTAGTATTTAAATAAATATTTTTTCCATTAAACACTCAGATTCAGATACATAAACCATCTTTCACATATCATAATCAGTCATGGAGGTTATCCTTCCCTTTAAATGAGTTAAACATTTCTAATTCATAGAAAACTTGCAGTAATAACTGTACAAATATTTGTAGGAAAAAAAAAAATCAAAACATAGGAAGAAACTCTTCTGTTTTTACTCTCCTCACATATTAGAAGCTGGAATTATGTTAAAGAAAATGTATTTAAGATTCCCAAATCTTTTAAACAACCTGTAATAAATGTTTTTTAATATCAAAAACATACTAGAGATAATATTTTGACTGGAAAATGGTGGAATTCAGAAGTTTCAGCTATGATTCAGAGTTTTTACTGAAGGAAAAGTGGAATTGTAGCGGAGCAAAAGTTAAATCTCTCGGGAATCAGAATCCAAGTGTAAGATTTTCATGAACCTGTATAAAGCAGAGCTGTTGAATAGAACATTTCTGTCTCCAGCATTAACTATGAAACACAGTTAGTGGCTGCAATTTAAAATTTTGTCCTAGTCTGTTTTAGAAAAGATTAATCAGCAAAAGAATTGCACCAAACAGTGGTATATATTACAGCATCTTATTATAGTGTAACACCAACAGTATTTCTAATTTTCTTCAGCATCATTTAAAGATATTTAAAGCTGTGAAAGATAATGGTATTGGCAGCGTTGAGACTTGATCTACAAAATTCTTCTGAATAACTGGAGCAACAATACAATAATCAGCAACAGACTTTAACTTTGATTTCTAAAAGTTATATTTAAAGACATGGAGGATTTTCATTTGAAATGGAGTTTTTCTACTGAGATTGTAAGAAATATTCCAGAAGTTGGCTGACATTTGAACAGTAGAAGCTTGCCTATTGAGGACCCATGCTGCGATTTCAAATGTTTTAAAGTTTTGAAAGATTTTAAAAAGAACATGCCTTAATAATGGCCTAGTTTGAAGTCAAATTAGAAAGTTTATGTATCAGGAGCCTGATGCTGAACATCTTGCTGCATTATCTACTATCAGAATTGAGATGACTTTTCAAGGGAAAATGACTCTACCAAATGAACTCCTGATATGTATGGTAGCACACAAACCCTATCAAGGCTTTCAAGAAGAGAAAGGAAAAGATTTTTCTCTGTGTCTTATTTTTCTTATGATATTTTGAAAGACGCATAATAAAGCTCTTATGATACAAACATTTTTAATGAGTCTCAAATACAAGGAAGAATTTGAATAAGAATGGGGTAGTGTTTCAGAGAGATAGGAAAAAATAGGGAATATGGCTTTTACAAGACAATCTTCTTCTGAAATTGTATGCAAAATTCATGTAAGGAGGGTGCTTAGTTATTTCAATCATTATATATAATCTAAATTTCATGATAACCCATGAGCTGGGAAAAAAGCAGTGGTAACTTGTTGAAAATGTCCCAAGATTAAAAAGAAAGATCATGAAGAAGCTTCATGGGAGACTAAAGAAATACAGAGATTAGATAAACAAAAGAAAAAAAAGGAAATGCTGTTTAGACATATGTTTAATATAAAGCTGGAAATGTAATTTACAATATCAGGATACCTGGAAAAATATGATCTGTTACAATGCATGTTTATTTGGTCATAAATTCATTGAGATCAGTGAAGGAGTTATAACATTTTTAGTGAGATAGAAGAAAATAGGTTTAGATGCAGTTGATAAAATAACTGAATAATTTATAGACTAAAGAAAAAAAAAAAAGAAGAAAAGAAAGAAAGAAAGAAAGAAAGAAAGAAAGAAAGAAAGAAAGAAAGAAAGAAAGAAAGAAAGAAGGAAAGGAAGAACGAAAGAAAGAAGGAAAGGAAGAACAACAATGTAGAGATTAAGAAGAATGAAAGAACAGTGGTGGCAGAGTAACAGGTTCAGAAATTTATAGACAGCAAGAGCTAAGACAAAGTTACTGAGTCAAGAAAACATCACCACTGATGAATATCAGCTAAATATGAGAAAATGTATTGGCAAATTTTCACAAATAAATAATAAATAAATAAATGAGGACTTTTCATTAGCATTCCACAAATTAAAAAGGAACAGGAGTTGCCAAACATTTTCTTGACTTCAGCAGACTTTTGCCAGCTGAAACTTTTGAGCTCCTAAGGGATGTCTCCTCCCTTTCTTTTCCAGGTTCTATTCCTAAATATACAATATCAAGAAAAATTTCAAATTGTATTTACATTACCTAGATTACAGATTTATATTGAAATACCTCATACATTCTTCAGTTTTACATACTGCTTGCTGTGGCAATTTTCATTTCTTGCTTTTAAATACTATATAAATTCTTTTACTGAATAGTCACTAGGTAAACTAATTCAGTATATATCAGGTCCTTCCCCAAACAGTGTTTTTAAATCATTAATCTTAAAAAGCATCAATAATTTTTAACAGTATCTAGTTCTTTGAAAGAAAAGTACAAACAATGGATTATTACAAGTCATATTCAGAGACTACTCCATATGAAGTTCATGTGATATTTTCCACGAAGTCTCAATGAGAAGAGAGAAGACAACTCAGATATGAAGGATATGTAGCAAACAATTAATTTCTTGATGTTTTTTTCATATTTTTATGACTATATATATCTATACTTGCTGAAACTAATGTATTTATACTTAAAAATGATAGTATGTGCTGTATCATACATAAAGATGTCTTTATTATAGCACACATGCAGTGCATGTATTCACACTCTTCAAGTATTGCATGTGTTTTTATAAAGTAGTACATGGTTTGCCTTCTCTATTGAACAGAAAATGAAATGAAAAAGGGTAGAGGGCTAGACTGGGTTTTCTCAGTGGTCCATTCTGACCTTGACTGTTCCATGATTCTGTAAGCATTAAATGTTTCACAACTCGGCAATAGTAATAAAACAAACAAGTAAACCATAACAAAAAGTGGCTTTCAGTAACAAGTAATACAGAAGAAGGAACATACATTACTTTACTGTTCTTTGACTGCATTGATTTAGAAGAGGTGAAAAAGAGATATCTGAGAATTAAGCTGGAAAATAACACAATGGAAGATGTGTCTTTTTTATTTTCTTTAGCTTCCATTTACTAAATAAGAAATTAACAGCTATCTAAAAAGCTGTTAAAAAAAAAAAATGTTAACACTCTCAAACATTTTTTCAGTGGAGCTTTGTTGGGTTTTAGGCTTTGATTTTAAAGAAAAATAAATTATCTAGCAGTGCACATCAGTTTGCCATATCTGAA